GCTTGCCCGTCGCGCAGGATCCGGCTGTACACCTGGCTCTCGCACCGGTGCTTCTCCGACTGCGTCACCACCTTCTACCGCAAGACGCTGGGCAAGCGCGAGGGGGACTGCGTCCGCGCCTGCGTCCGCAAGTACCAGCTCGCCACCGCCGCGTCCGCCGCCCGCTTCAACAAGCTCGCCGACCCCTCCGCCGCCGCCGCCGACGACGACGAGGACGACTGATCCGTGCGGCCCTGTGCTCCACTCCACTGTCGGCTGGGGGAACTTTTTTGCCTGCTCTGGTTAGTCTTATGCAGTTTGAGTTCTGATGATGTAGTGCTTGTGTTACCCTGAAGAAACACCAATAGTGACAGACTAGAAGAACCACAGAATCTGAATTTCTGAACCGATTGGTTGCGGCTGTATCGAACCACACCATGTATTCGGAACTTGGGTGGATGCAAACATGAACGGTTTCCATGCTTTACAAACTTAGTATCGGTGAATGTTTCACTGAATGTTATGCATTTTCTTGTCTGATTGAAATGTATTACTTCCATGTGTCAATTCAGAATTCAGAATGTGCATTGACGAAAACCTGAATTCTTGGTGCCATTTCATGCTTCATTCTCTGCATACATGTTCAGGATTTCCCCCTTTTTTGTCGCATACCCGGGTATATGGTCAAATCAACAATGATCCATGATGTTGATTTGAAGTTTGTCTAGATTCAATTTCCTCTCCAAAAGTAGACTGCATCTTTTGCCATCATATGCCAAACTTGAATCTCCAGGTCACATGATAAGTATATCGTCTACAGCAATGTGTCTAGTCAACAACTCAACATCACTGCAATCAAGAGCATGTCCTTTTGTTTTCATAGCCTGTTACAGCCAGTACTAAACTCTGAATTTATGATATATCTCTGCCTCAAGTGATAGGATCTGAACTTTCCCTCAAAATAAGAGTTTAGAGAAACTTCAGATGACGAGACAACAAATGATTTGTTCAATAAATATGGTTCAGCAGAGTAATGTAGCAAAGGACAAATGTATCTGATGTGAATACAACCAAGATATCAGACAAAAAAGTGTAGGAGAACCTCATGTATTCAGTGATTGCACATCTGCACTCTGTATAATTTGTATACGAAACAGAAAATGTTGTCCTAGAAGATTATTCACTCTAAACAGTAAACACACTGATTGTTCTGTTTAAAGATTTTTTTTGGGTGCCAGTCTCATTCATAAACGGAATGAATGCAGGGTACTTGGATCTAAAATGAAGATTTAGTTATCCAGGTTAAGTCGCTCCAGGTTCTTGTTGCAGTCTCATCAACTCTCAGCATCAGTATCCAGGACAGTATCATCGCAAATTCACAGTAGTCCGATAAGAGATTTTATTATAAGCTTGATGTTCCTTGTCGTTGACTTATCACTGTTAAACAGAGACCTCTGAGCTGATACTCTGCATGTAAGCACACAAACAATAATCCTATAAGACAGCTCATCAACTCTGATCCAGAAGTTTTAAGTTTCTGAAAAGATACAATCGTTTAATTATGTCAGTGAATAGAAGAATGGGGGACTGGATCACTTGCCCGTTTATTTGCCCCTCTTTACATCGGATTAGATGATTTGCCCTGCTTTTCTTTTTTCCTTTTGGTATATGCCCTCTGAGCTGATACTCTGCATGTACTCATTTTTTTATCCCTATTTTTGCCATGCGAAAAGACTGTATTTGCCATGTGGCAAATTTTCCATTCTTTATGGACCATTCTGTGTTTGACTGTTGGTCTTGGTTGGATTGACCGGTTCATCGCCTTTCTCCCGTTCCTCTCTCTTTTATTATACTCGTATTGAAGTGACAAACCTACTGGAGGATGCCGATGAGGGCACCCTTGTGGCCATCTTGACGGCTGCTCCTGCTGCTGCTGGAGGCGAGGTAGCTTCCGCTGCAACACAATGATGCAATGGAGAAGTCTGACAAGAGATGGCTCCGCTGCAGCTCAGTGGCACACCGGTTGTTGCTGCAGCTCAGAACTGTAGAGGAGGCAGATGGCGCTCCTCGTCATTTCCCGCCAGCGATGCCGTAGATGGCGTCTGCTGCAACAGCAGCGCCAACGAGCTAGAGCTGGAGGGTACTGGTGCTAGCCTCGAGCTGGAGCTAGAGTGTACAGGCGCATCGACAGTAACTTCGAGCTGGACAGGAGCACAATGGCGCTGACCTCCAGCGGTGATTCCTGTGACTATGATGACTACAACATCTCCAGTGAGCACGGGCACGGCGACTCGACCGACAAGGTGACTCATTTCTCTGTTTATCTTTTGGTTTCACTGTCAAGGAGTGAATGGAGTGTCCTGTTCTTGCTAGTGTGCAGCCTGTAAAATGTGAAGTTCTAAATTTTAGACATAGCCTATAACAACTTAATAGATGAAATAATCACATTGACAGTAATCAAATTAGGGTATATATCACTCCTTAATCATTAACCAATATCACCAAAAGGTTGCTCATTTCAAATCACACAAATTAATGTGAGTTTACATCAAGCAATAATAACAATAATTTTGAGTCTCTATCTCGATAATTGACAAATTCAACACCTCTTGGAATTTAAAATAGCATCTCAATGCACTAAACTGAGAGCGTCTTCCGCTTTTGGGGTCAATTTTTTTTTGGTATGTTGTAGAGCATGAAGGGATGTGAGAACTGAGAAGTAGGTGATGCTACAGAAACAATAGCTGTCCCTGATGGTTGTGATGCATCACCTCCAGATATGGCCATAGCAAGACTCCTGCATCTGCATGTTTAAACACCAAGGTTACAAAAGTAGGAATTTTGTTTTTCTGCATGAATCAGATATGCATATGACAAATATAACATTGACCTCCTTGTAGTAGGCCCATGGCTGTTATGAAGGCTGGGTGGCAGTGTGATCATTGTCGTTCATGTAGGTGTCGCTGCAATAGATGGAACGAGCTCGTGAGCAGACACTTTGCCATAAAGTTGACCCTTTTAGCCTTTTTCTTTTCGTTCAATTACACATGATGTTACGAATGATATACTAATACTAATTCGATACTAGTATAGATGTGATAGTAGTACATGGGTTACCTCTCTTTAGCTCCATTTTCTGGACAAGTTTCTTCTTTATGCCCCAATATTCCACTTTGTTTGCACCTATTTCTGGTGCCAGATCTCTTAATTTCCTTTCCCTTCTCTTTGCCACCACCTTTTTGCTCACTTCTTTTGCTATCATCTTTTTTTCCTCTTCTTATGTTTGCTGCCACCATCGCCGTGGTCTGCAAGGCAACCTTTGATCCTCTGCTTTTCCGTCTCCCGTCAGAGCTGTTCTAAACTGGTGGCACCATCTCAAAATCTAGAGTAACCTGAGGCTTATTTGTGATTGATTCAATCTCTCCAGCATAGGTATGATGGAACATACTCATGGAGTAGTATTCATGCACATATGGCTAAAAATTTACATCTGCAGTCTCTATAAGATTTAAGGATAGTGAGTGCATACTCACAGAGCTTTCCATTGTGCTGCCATTCTAGGGAATTGCACCCACGGCCACCTATCTCCACAACATGCCTAAGATTCTTCTTGTTGGTGTCTTTGACTTCACAACTTTCTTCAGTTGATCTTCCAACAACAAAATAGACAATTTGTCCAGTGCTATTATCTATTTGTTGAACCATAGCAACCAGTGGCTCTCCCGGAACATTTCCCAACCCTTCTCCTATGAACAAGTATTATGATTTTTCTCTCTTATTGAATCGGGTAGCTCATCCACGCGTAGATCATCCGTTCCTTTGATCTAGCTATCACTAGTAGAAAAAGGGTCTTCTGTCCCGGCTGGTAAGGGCCTTTTGTCCCGGTTTCTGAAACGGGACTAAAGGGTCGTTACTAATGCCCTGGCCCTTTAGTCCCGGTTTAAACAGGAATCGGGACAGATGGGCCTCCACGTGGCCGGTGCGCCGAGCCCAGGCAGGAGGGCCTTTGGTCCCGGTTGGAGGCACCAACCGGGACCAATAGGCATCCACGCGTCAGCATTTCAGGGGCTGAGGTTTTTTTTTTGCCTTTGGTCCCGGTTGGTGGCATCAACCGGGACCAATAGGCATCCACGGGTCAGCATTTCATGGGCTGAGGTTTTTTTTGAAGGGGGGGGGGCTGAGGGTTGGGGGTTTTGGGAGGTTAATTTAGGTGTTTCATATATTGTGTTAGCTAGCTAATTGATAGAGAGCAGTGTCCTCTCTTATGTCCGTGTTTGGTCGACGCTACGTACTATATACATATAGAGAGGACTAGACACGTTAGCTAGCTAGTAAGCAAACGAAGGAAACAGAAGATCGTCATGAACATATATGTATACAGAGAGAAGTGATATTGACCACCTCTCCTTCTCCGAGAG